GCACCACCCGCCCTACCACCAGCAGCACCACCAAGGGCCCCCGCCTGGCGGGCCCGGCGGTCGCAGCGAGGAGAAGATCTCAGACTCCGAGGTGAGTGTTTCCCTGAGCTACGCGTCGGCTCCCCTAAGATGGCGGCGGCCCCCTCCTCTTTCCCCTCCCCGCCCTCCATTTTGTCGGAGACCGGAAAGGGCGCCTGCGCGCGAGGCGGCGGGGGCGGGGCTGGCTCTCCGGGCGCGGGGCAGACGGCGTGGGTCCGCTATCCCGCCGCGGAATTGGCCTCTCTGCGGAGGCGGCGGAGGGCGGCGCGGAGAAGCTGCAATAGGCTTTGCTAAAGCTAGCGGATCCTGGGAACCAGAGCAGCGTAGAGCGGGAAATGCGGGATCGAATAGATCGGGGGGTTCCGGCCTTAAATACGCAGGTGCAGGTCTTGTCGCAGACAACGGAATCTTGGTCATTTTCTTTTCAGTTAATAGCGGAACACCGTTTTTAACTTTGTTCCCTGTGATTTCGATTTTGTCGGGGACCCTGAGTATATACGGCTGGCGAGGTTCCTTATAATAGAGCCTACCCAGTAGAGAGATTAGTGTCAGTGTTGTGGATGATTTAGGCTGTTAGGAATGTTGATTACGTTGGAAATCCCGTAAATAGTATTTTTGACTTTAAACGGAACAGAGGAGCAACCCGATTGGTAAAATCTAGTTTAGGAAAAGCGAAAATTATTACTGGGTTTTTCTACTTGCAGAGGTCACTGGTGTATGAAAATTGCCTTCCTTTTTCATTAGGGGTTTAAAGCCAACTTGTCTCTCTTGAGGAGGCCTGGAGAGAAAACTTACACACAGCGTTGTCGGTTGTTTGTTGGGAATCTACCTGCTGATATCACGGAAGATGAGTTCAAAAGATTATTTGCTAAATATGGTGAACCAGGAGAAGTTTTTATCAACAAAGGCAAAGGATTCGGATTTATTAAGCTTGTGAGTTTGGTTTTTTTTTTGCTTTTTGGTGGAATTAAAAGGGTTTTTTTTCTCTACCACAAACATACTGTGTTTTTAAGCTACCAAGAATAAATTAGTCTTTCAGTTTTTCACCGTTCTTAGAGAAGAGATGCAACTGCTGTGTAGTGCATAAATTGTTGGTGTCACTGAGGGGAGTGGGTGGGTAAGGTATTTACCTACTTCTGAATGGTGTCAGGGAGGGCTACCGTGCAGATAGTTGAACTGAGCTGGCAGAAGAACAGGATGGGGAGTCAGGCTTATAAGATAGGGTGGGCATTAGTCAGTTTTGAGGTCATTAACGGAAGTGTGTGTCTTGATGCTTTCAGGAATCTAGAGCATTGGCTGAAATTGCTAAAGCTGAACTTGATGATACACCCATGAGAGGTAGACAGCTTCGGGTTCGATTTGCCACACACGCTGCTGCCCTTTCAGTTCGAAATCTTTCACCTTATGTTTCTAATGAGCTGTTGGAAGAAGCTTTTAGCCAGTTTGGTCCTATTGAAAGGGCTGTTGTTATTGTGGATGATCGTGGAAGATCTACAGGGAAAGGCATTGTTGAATTTGCTTCTAAACCAGCAGCAAGAAAAGCATTTGAAAGATGCAGTGAAGGTGTTTTCTTACTGACAACGTAAGTTCTTACGTTTATTCTAATACTTTTCATTTATTAACTTATATGAAGTTGTAGTAAGACAAACAAAATTAAGAAGGATCTATTTTTGTTGGTAGAACACCTCGTCCGGTCATTGTGGAACCCCTTGAACAGTTAGATGACGAAGATGGTCTTCCTGAAAAACTTGCACAGAAGAATCCAATGTATCAAAAGTAAGATCAATTAAACTCTTGGAAAGTTTTTCTTAATTTAAATGTAATTGAGAACTTAGAGAAATTTTTCAATTTTGCTAAAAATATACAAAATTATTTGAAATAGATATGCTTTTTAAGGATGGGAAAAATACTCTGATTTAGAATTTGGCTAGGGAAATGGATTTAGGAAGTGAAGGGTTTTTTTTAATCTCCAGTGTCCATGTTACTGTATCATTTTGCGGTATGTATTATTTTGCTGTAAAGACATCTTTAAAACCCATGGTGTGGTCTTTGCCTTTCCGTATTTCTTACAAGTGACAGGCCAGTGAAAATACCAGTAAAATCAAAGTATTTCTTGTGTACATCCATAAACTGGTTCATGTTTAAATATTGTCAGGGAGAGAGAAACCCCTCCTCGGTTTGCCCAGCATGGCACATTTGAGTATGAATATTCTCAGCGGTGGAAGTCCCTGGATGAAATGGAAAAACAGCAACGGGAACAAGTTGAAAAAAACATGAAAGATGCAAAAGACAAATTGGAAAGTGAAATGGAAGATGCCTATCACGAACATCAGGCAAATCTTTTGCGTCAAGGTAGAAGACCCTCTCTGAATTTTGCTGTTACCAGTTGCTCTTTGAAGTTAATGGAATTTCATTAATAGGAATCTAACAATTTTCCAATGTTCAGATCTGATGAGACGCCAGGAAGAATTAAGACGCATGGAAGAACTTCACAATCAAGAAATGCAGAAACGTAAAGAAATGCAATTGAGGTAAAATTTTTTTAAATTAAGTCTTTGCTCTTGAATTAAATGTACCTAAATTAATAAGGCTGAGATATCTCTAGAACTATTTTTCTAGAGTCACTGTTCCAGCCTTTGTGTGTATTTACTCCAACTTAGACTTTGTAACGCTGTTAAACTACTAGTTTTCCTCAAGTTGTATTTTTGAAATGTGGATAACAAACACTTGGGTTTTTATGCTTGAATATTTCCAGGCAGGAGGAGGAACGACGTAGGAGGGAAGAAGAGATGATGATTCGTCAACGTGAGATGGAAGAACAAATGAGACGCCAAAGAGAGGAAAGTTACAGCCGGATGGGCTACATGGATCCAGTAAGTAAACTTCTATTGCAGTGTAATTGCAGTTTTCTACAAGATTTGTAGATACCTAGGATGAAATTTTACTCAGTTAAATATAACTTTTCACATAACGGTCGTTCTGTCAGTTTTTGTTTTTAAAAGAAGTGTGTTATGATTGGTATACCTTGAGTTTTACCTTCTTGTGTTTGCCAAAGTATTTCGTTGGTTGGGGAGAAGCTTTATAGGTCTTTTGTTAATGGAGTCTCAATAACTGGTTTTAGAATATTGATTTTTAAAATTGCCTTAATGAGTTTTTTTTCTTTAAGTTGAAAGCAGTTTTGGAAATTTCTTTGTATTCTCAAGAATGCTTGGTATAGTGCAGGTATATGAAAGGGATTTTTTTTTTTCTTTCAGAGAGAAAGAGACATGAGAATGGGTGGTGGAGGAGCAATGAACATGGGAGGTAAGAATGAAAATTAAATTAGTAATACCATTGGAGAGCAGTATTCTGGTTGAGTTGTAACCAGAATTTTTATTTCCTAGATCCCTATGGTTCAGGAGGCCAGAAATTTCCACCTCTAGGTGGTGGTGGTGGCATAGGTTATGAAGCTAATCCTGGAGTTCCACCAGCAACTATGAGTGGTTCCATGATGGGAAGCGACATGGTAATGTATCCTGTGGGACGTAGTTCAAAAGGAAATTCTCATTTTCACAACTTGCGTGTGTGTGTTTTTGTTTTTGTTTTTGTTTTCTTTTTTAAGTAGGTGACTGGACCTCGTTTAGTTCCCCTGTCATGTAAATCGTAATACTGAGGAATACTTTGGCAACATAGAAGAACTCAGTGTGGTAACCTAAACAGATAAGGTTGCCAACAAAAAGTCAATGCTGTTAGTGTGTTGGAGTTAATCTTTGGCAATAAGTAGACTAGGTGCTTTCCATCATTGCTTGTGTACTTTTGCACTGTAGCTCATGGCAAATCCAAATTCTAAATGTTAGACGATGGACCTGATTATTCTACATCCAAATGAGTAACCAAATGGCAAACTGTCATTCATTAAGCTGGTATTTGCCATAACTGAATCAGATTTGTTTGTAGCTTTAGGCATGTTTCAGCGATGTGTAGGACTTTGACCTGTATTTGGTGTGACTCTACCCATGAAAAGAATTGTTTAGTCTTCGGACTCGTCGTTTCCCACCTGTTGGGTCTGTCTATAGGTACACCTTCTAAAATAAACTGACATGTCTATTTTGCTACAGTGTAGCAAAAATCTTTGATAATTTTAAGCATACTAGTTGTGTGCATTTGATCTGTACCCTCTTGATGTCATATTTTAGCTGTATAGGTAGCCTGTCAGGTTGCTTTAGAACAACCAAATGACTTGGTCTGAGTGGCTGTGTTAGGGCTTTACAATACTTACAAGAACTGAATATTGACTTTAGAGGTGGGTTTGGAGAAAAGTGCACTTTCACAAATGAACTTGATCAGTTCATTTACAGGCTTTTGGCAAAGGAGGGAAGCTGCAGCATGTGTAGCTCACTAGATTTCATTTTACAAGTAGGAACATAAGGAATTAGTATGGGGCTTCATCTGTTCAATATCTGCATAAGGCTTTTTGAGAACTAGAATCATAAATAGCTGGTTGGGTTAAATGTGCTGTTTGGCTTTCTTCAAATTGCATTTTAAAACATAATGTGGGTAACATTTTGGTTTATATGCTTCCTAAGAGGCTGGTGTAGGTATGTATCAAATTTGTAACTCTTAATTTGACGTGATGTTCCCACAGTTACAGGTTCTGTAGTCCATGTAACAGGGAGCTCCTGGGTTCTAAGATACTGTAGTAACATAATTGTAAAACCTCCAGATTTCCTTTTTACTTTTTTGAGATACAACATACAGCACAATGTGCTCAAAACCTAAACTTCCGGGGATTTTGAAAAATAGTTTGAAGGACTGACATTCAGTCTTTTCAGCTAGCCCTGTAGGAAGCATGTTGAAATTATTTATAAGAACAGTTAAACCCTGACTCCATTTTAGTGTGGGGAGGTGGGTTGGTCTTATTTGGTTTTTGGGTGGGGACAGTACTCTGAGTAACTTGGTCTATTTTAAATGGAACTTGAAAGGTACTTCAGGCTGCTGTGCTTGCATCTCTGTAGGGATGTTCTGTTTGGAAACATAGGTTTCTAGAAGTACTTTAAAGCAAGATGAAATAATGAGGTCCTGCTTTATTGCAGACACTTAAGCTTTGTGTTAATGCTGTTTGGGAGACAACCTAAACACGGAATCATAACTATGAGTGAACATTACACAGACCTAAGGGGAAAAGTTGGGCTGTCATGAGGCTGGGCTGTATATTCAGTCAATTTGCAACAGTAGAGAACAGTACTGTGAACATGATTGTCTCTGGTTATATAGTGATGGCTCTGAAGGTGAAATACCTGTGAGAATATGGCAACACTTTTTAAAATCAATCAGCTACTGTGCCGGTTAAGTGACTAAATCTATTAGTCTTTTATGCTTTTTCCTTTTGTAGTCTGGTAGCATTTTATTAAAACTTTGTACCTTTTAAGATTTCTGCAACTTAGCAGATGTGTCTTAAGATCTTGAAAAGCACAAGGTTTCTTATGCAGCACATACCACTAACTGGTGAGTAGGTCTTTGTCACTTCATTGAGTGAACTGAATCTGTCTGATTGGGCTTGTTAGGCTTACTTGGAAATTAAATTTCCTGTTCAGACTTTGAAAGTGAGAGGTTTGCAAGCTTTTCAGTGGGTTAATCTGATGTGAAATTTCTTAAAACTCATTTTGGAATGGGTTTTCACATCTGTACTAATTCTTAAATTTTTTAGCACTACAGGGAAGATCTATTCTTTGAAACAGGTGTATGAGAATGGCTCAAGTGGGAACATACCACAAGGCATGTATTATCGTAAACTAATTTTCAAATTACCCTTTTTTCCTTTCTATGTTCCCGGTACCTGTGGATCGACTCATTGGTGATTGTATCGACGAACGTTGACTACGGAACCTTCTAAAATATTTACTTAACACACATGGACATCAACTACATATAATGAACTGTTAATTACTGTTCCAATAGCGTACTGAGCGCTTTGGGCAGGGAGGTGCGGGACCTGTGGGTGGACAGGGTCCTAGAGGAATGGGGCCTGGAACTCCAGCAGGATATGGTAGAGGGAGAGAAGAGTATGAAGGCCCAAACAAAAAACCCCGATTTTAGATGTGATATTTAGGCTTTCATTCCAGTTTGTTTTTGTCTTCTCTTGTTTAGATACCAATCTTTTAAATTCTTGCATTTTAGTAAGAAAGCTACCTTTTTATGGATGTTAGCAGTTTATTGACCTAATATTTGTAAATGGTCTGTTTGGGCAGGTAAAATTATGTAATGCAGTGTTTGAAACAGGATTTTTTCCCCCTTTTTCCTTTTTTTTTTAAATCTGTATAATGTCCCTCGAGTTACGGCAGTGTATCTTGTGCCACTG